ACATATGAATTATTGATCGGGGGCCACTTCATCTCCCTCTTCATCCTCATCCTCATCATCATCAGACAGGGGTTCATGCTCTTTTCCCGCAACCCGATCAGCTTCCCGTTGCTGGACTCGCAGAAATTTCTCAAACTGCGCCTGGATAATATCATCTGTGGGGAGATCAGAAGCCTGAACCGGCCTCCCCAATTGAGTTTGAAGCTGAGTGACGAAGGGACGCAGCAAGACCTGGCCAATTTTGCCATAAAGATCGGAGACAATGGAATCATTCCATTTTTTGGCCTCCGGGTCCTTATCCAAGAGGGCCACCCCTGCCGATAGCCGGGCGGCGCCTTTGGGAAAACCCTTCAAATACGCCCCAAAGGCGAACGGGATTTGGGCCCTTGCGTGTTCATCCTTGATGATGGAGAATTCATCAGAGGATTTAAACGTATCCCGGACGGCGGACAGATCCACGCTCACTTCATAAGGACCGTCCGGGATGCTGGATGGCATTTCTTCAAATTTGACCTGGGCAGCCTCAGCGGCAAAGACCTTCGCCTGGGAAGCTGCAAGTTGGACCCGAAGGGTACCAAGTTCAGCGTCCAGCCTCTGCTTTTCCTCCGCAAAGGCTTTCCGATCGGCCTCCAGAGAGGCGATGGCGGCAGCAGCATGTTGCTCAGCAGAAGACTGGGCAACAATCAGTTCCCGCTCCTTGGCCAGGCGGGCCTCCCGCATCTGAAGGGTGTACAAGCCCATCTACAGAATGCCGTTCGAGGATTAGTACTGGTTACGGAGAATAAAATAAAGACGAAGCACAAGAGACAACGTACCTTCAGAGCAGTCAGAGCCAAACATTCCTCAGATTGCTCGACCGGCAACTGAGGGAGGGAAAAGTTGTTAAACCAGGAGGAGGTAGACCAGATCTGGCTCGCAGTAGATCCAGCCCTCTCTAAAACCTCGTGAACAGGGTCGGATAGGGAGATCCGCTCGACCTGACCCGTAATGTGGTCGGTATGTGTCTCACCAGCATTCGAGGATTCCCCCCGAACGGAGTCGAAATGCTGGGAAAATTGGTGCAGTTGGTCAGAACCAAACCGATCATCAAGCAGCATGATGGCCTCTATTTGATCTTGGTGGACCTGCTGAATTGGCTGAGGTTCTGGGGGCGGTTGAGAAGGGGCAGCCTCCTGAGCGGGAACGATGGTGGGAGTAGGTTGGGGGTTCTTCCGGGATTTTTTCCGCTTTCCGCCCCCACCGGCTGCGATGACTCTGCTATCATCCATGGAAAGATCTGGGTTGGGTGCTGAAAAAAGGCAAAGAACAATGTTAGTATCGAGCGGCCCTAGCGTGTGAGAAACTAAAATAAAAAGAATAAAGGAATGTTTCTCGCACGGGAAGGACCGCCCGGACCAAGGCACTTGGTTTATCAAAACAAGTAAACCCAAGAGAACGGGCAGTACCTATCCCGGCTGTTATAAGTCGTTCGGGGGTTAGATAATTCATGATGTCCATGCATTTATCCTTCTCCACAGCGAGCACGTCCTTGTAGATTTCTTCAGTCAGGACAGGATCAGGGGTCTTGCGGGGAAAAGCATTCCACTTGCGGGGAATCAGACCGTCCGGGATGGACACGAAGAAAAACCGGTCTTTCCACCCTTTGATCGAAGTTGGGTTTCCTTAGAACAGGATGTGTCCCGTTTGGGCACTAGTGGCCAGATAGCCATGGGTTTGTTGGGGGGCTACTTTGAAGAACTGGTGGAAGAGTTCTAAGGTTGGTCGGGCGCCGACATCTTTGCAACGACAAATGAAACCCGCCATTGCTCGATAAGAGTTCGGCATAATCTGGGCCGGTACAATTTCGTAGAAATTGAAGAAAGAAATAAAGAAAGGGTGTAGCGGAAATCTAAGGCCGACCCTAATTGAGTCAAAGTGGACTATGGTCATTCCGGGCCTATGACGCATTGGATGAAGCCCGGCTTGCAAACGGAAATCCACCGGGTCAGGGATAAGGGCCGGGATTTCGGCCCTATTGCGAGAGGTCAATTTTTGCCTCCTCTCCCTAATCAATTTTAGGTCAAGAGTATGGCGAGGAACATCGTTGGGACGTCCGGCCGCCATGGAGGCCAATTCGTCCTCAGACTTGGTGTCGTCAGAATCCTCACTGGAGGAAGAAGAAGTGCTAGGGAGGTCCTCCGCCTCAGCCCTGGTATTCGTCGCCGTCTCGGTAGAAACACCGGCAAACGGAACTGGGATGGCATCTATCATGGCGGTGTCACGGTCATCCCCATGAGAGGCCATCTCCGAATCAGAAGAATGCTCTGTGGGGCTCATCTCGATCGAAGCCAGAAATGAAGATGGGGAATCCAAGGTTGGGAAGTTACCTGAGCAAGGGAAGCAGGGGGAAATTTGCAGAGAAAACAACGAAGGCCAAGGAATTGCAGAGTCGAAACCCGGAATTGAGGAATTAAGGGCTAATTTATAGCCTTGAAACCGCCATGTCGAGAACCAATCAGAGAGCGACACATCACTAGGGGCATTTAAGCTAGACACGCGTCTAATGAAAAGACTAAACGACGGTTATCATAATGAATATGGGGAAATGAAGCGGCAGCCGTCAAATCGCAGCATGGGGAACTGGTTACTTCTGTACCCCGATCGCCATTCGGGGTATTGTGACATTGGTATACTTCCTGATGCACTCACTTCGTTCGAGACATCGGAAGTGGGGGACTTGTGTTAGGGTATTGACCTAGAGGCCCAATACCCAGATCGGGAAGGCCCAAGATATCCGGCCCAAGTAACAGGCCCATCACTCTATGATGAGAAGATCCAGTAAGGAGACATACCGAACGGGGTTCGGCCCAAATAAAGGTTGGCCCAATAAGAAGACATACCGAACGAGGTTCGGACTATATACTATACTTGGGCCAATTTGACAGCATCTTCAGTATGGACCAACATCCCGTTCGAGCAACGGCCAACCAGCAAGTGGCCAGGTGCAGTTAATGCCAGACTGTGACATCAGCAAGTGGAAGCATGGATGACCAAGTCGGTGGAACAACGGCCAATCAGCAAGAGGCAGCCCATGCTCTCCATTAGTATAAATAGAAGGTTTCAAGTCATTGTAAGGGTTAGATTTTCGATACTCAAGCTCTAGAATAGCATCATTTGCTCTTATTTCTTGTATTAAAGCATAGTTTCCGACTTACTGATCGGGAAATCTTTTGTAATCAGATTGGTTAATAAATACAAGTGGGTTTTCGAGTTCTAGTTAATTCAGATTTTATATTTCCTCACACACTTTGATTCTGGGCCATTCCTAATATATCCAAAGTTCGTGTTGGGCTTTCGGATCTACGGGACTTACCCTCAACACTTGTATTTCAACCAATCTTAGTTAAATATTCGACATATGTCGTATAATGTATTCTACAAAGATGGTCAGAAGTATGTCAAAACCGGGATTAAGAGGTGTTAAATAGGTCATTAGGACTCATTTGATTGCTTTTTAGAAGTAGATGTACTTATATGACACTTTATTGAGTACATGGCCTTATGTGACTATTTCATAATAGTAGAAGGCCTTATTTGACCCTTTTCTCTATGTTTTATATATCAAATTTTTATAAATTTATATTTTTTTTATCAACCTTTGTAGCGGTTTTAATATAGTTTCTCAATATGTAAATTTTATTTACTAAAAGTAATCTGAGTATGAATAGGGATCGAGTTGCTTTATCGTCGGTCAATCATCGTAATCCGAAATGGGAAGTTCATTTTGGGACGGAGGTAGTATATTTATTGAAAAAACTTACCAAAAGTGGAAAGGAAGACAACTAATAGAGAACATCCCAAAATGGAAAGAGGGCCAAGTATTAGAGAATGAAGAGAGTATTTTTTTATTTTCTGTTTTTTATTTTTGATTTATTTTCGGTTTTTATTTTATAAGATTTTCTATTTTCTATTAGTTTTATGAATTTCATAAATTTATATATTTATAAAATTTCTTAGGTTTTTAGCATTTATATATTTCAGATTTTTAAAAAAACACTCTTTTCATAAAAAACTTTAAATGTTTTTCATATTTTTATAATATTAAATTACGAAATTATATATTTTTTCAAAATTCACGATTATAATATTTTATATTTTGGCTTTTTGGAAATTTTTATTTTCAGCTTTATTTAATTTACATGAATTTCAGTCATCATTAACTTTTTATTTTTTAATAAATTTTAAGAATCTTAGTTTCTATTTTTATTTTACTCACAAAAACTTTATTTTAATTTCACATGTTTTTTTTTGAATTTTATATATTTCAATTTTTTATATTTATTTGAATTTTTATGATATTACTTTGTATGTATATCGATTTAAAAAAATATTACTCTTTCAAGAAAAGATTTATAATTACTTTTCATATTTTTAAATAGTTCCAAAACATTTGTTTCTTATTTTACATGTTTTTCATGTTTTTTAATTTATAAGTTTTTACTTTTTCTAATTTTTTATTGTTATAACTTATTACCTTATTTAACTTTTTAAAGTTGTAAGTGCTCTCTCTTTTACAAATAAAAAAGTTTTAAGTGCTCTGGAGAGCATACAAATTCGTTTCAGTTTGTTGATTGAACTTTAAATCATTTTTTATTTTTTTCTCTTAATGTATTAAAATTATGAAATTTTGCAAGTGTAATTATAGAGCATAAAATTAACATCGGTTTCGATCTTCCAATCTGTTCCGTTACTTAACAAGCATGCATGCTTCCGTTTGAAAAACAAATCTTTATAGTCAATTTTTGAAAGAAATTTTGAAAAGTGAAAAAAGTAATACTCCGTATATTTTACTCCGTAGTCCATTTGAGAAAAATTCCCTTTTTTAATTTCATGAGCCCAACCAGCCTAGAAGGCCGAAGCCCCAAATCTGTTTGTTTGGTTTGATTTGATGTGTGTGCATCCCATCTCCATCCTCCAATAACAATGGAGCTGTGAGATCAAATCTAATGAAGACACGTGTCAAGCATCTCTCTATCTGTTGAGCGACACTCTCTCTTTCAAGTTTCAACTGCTACAAAGATACTATCGTATCTTCTTTCCCACAAAGTTCAACCCCTACTCCGCGCCGTACGAAAACACCCACTCTTTCTTGATAGTTTATTTCTTTTTTACAACTCATGATTAGAAATGGTGGTTTAGATTTAGATCAGACAACTATACACCATCCTTTTGTGTTAAGGGGGGAAGGGAAACAATGTCAACACAGAGCCTTCTTCCTATATCCACCCCATCTCCTGCTTCTATGATCTCTGCTGTCTCGGCAGGATCTAGAGAGAGATTGCTGTTCAGATCGGACGGTGATCAGATGGCCGGAACCACCCGGATTCTTATCTCGCCGTCTTCGCCTTCTTTGGACTTGGAGGATGATAGGAGAATCGAAAAGGTGCCCTTTCTTTCTAGGGCCTCGAGTTTCACAGATGCCGCCTTGGGAGATTCGAATTCTTTTCTTAAGAAGCAGAGGCGGCGGCGGATCAGCAGTGATTCGTCGCTTTCATCCGCCTCAGACGGCAACTCCATCCGGCAGGAAGTGGGAAGGGCCGCTTCCGATACCTATTTGGTCACTAGGTTGGCCCTTAAGCTGTTTTGGTATCTCGGGTAATGATTCTCTTTATTTAAGACTATCCCGTTATTAGAGGTTATGGATTTTTAGTTCCTGAATATAGTTAAATTGGGGGGAATTGGAAGCCAATGCAAACGAGACCTTAGTGTCTGTAGTCTAATTCAAAATGAAATAAGCGAGATGTTGGGTTGCACCAAATTCAAAATGAAGGAATACACAACATAATCAAGTGTACTTGAGGGGTTAAAATAACAAGAAATAATGACAAATATATACTTGAGTTCAAATAACAGAAAAATATGATTTTTTAATATACATTGATCATGACTTGTATTTTCACATTATTTGCCTATTGTGATCATGGTGATTTTTCAATTCTAGACTGCATAACCTGCTGGTATTATCACTGTGACAGGTAGTGACTGTGTCAAGTTAATTTTCTTATTTATGATTTTGATACAAGTAATGTTATAAGAAAACCCCCAAGTAACAATTCAGCATTAGCCTAAATTGTCCCTATGTCTTCATATTAGGGAAATTAAAATAAATAGGGGACTTCTTTTACACATGCCCACACTCATACAGCCATACTTCCTTCATCCAGTTGCAGTCCTCCAAGTTTAACCGTCTAATAAGAATGTAAAGTATGTATAGTTGAAGTTTATGCATATGAGAGATAACCAATAAGAACCATAAATTAATTAATTAATTAAAAGGAAAATGGAAAAATTCCTGGGATAGAAAAAGGAAAGTTATCAAAGTCTAGTGGGATGGAGGTAGAAGTTATGAATTTATGATCATTTATTTCAGCATAGATCCTTTTTTAGATTTATTTGCTCCTATTACCAATGCGAATACCATCTTAGAAATGCATCAACAACAAGCTAATGCTGATTTTGATTGCTGCACATTTTTGTTTTGCTCCGTTTGCAATCTTTTTTAATTTTTAAATTTTCAATAGGTCCAAATAAGTGCATAAGGTCTGTCAAACTTCCATAAAAATGCTTCTATGTTGATTCAGGGTAGGCTATCGATGGATAACCAGGTTTCTTGCCCTTGGCTGTTATGCTTTCCTTCTTTTTCCTGGTTTTGTTCAAGGTTGGGGAAATCTTATTTATTTCAGTTATAGGCATGCCTCTTTTGATATTGCCCTATAATGCATCTAAGTTAGAGGAATCATGTGTGAATATTGCATAAGAAATCTGTTTGTTCGTTTCTTGCAGTCGGATATTACTACTTTTTCTCCAAACAAGTCCGGAGAAGTATTGTTTACGGTGATCAGCCAAGAAACAGGTACCTTTTGGTGATTCACCTTAGACTTTTTCCAGATATTAGTTTTTTGTTGAAACTAATTTATTTATTTGCCTACTCATTATGAGATATCAACCCAAGTCTAGTTTTTATTCTTCACTCTCTTTTGCAAAATGAATCCTCTTTTTTAGTCTTTGTAGACATCATATCTGAAAGTATATTGCGGTGCAGGTTGGATCTTTACCTCCCTAAGAACAGCAATGGGCCCAAACCAGTTGTAGCATTTGTAACAGGTGGAGCATGGATAATTGGGTGTGTAACTGAATTGTCCTATATTTTACTTTTGTTTCTTATTTAAATATTCGATCATCATGAGTTGTGTGGATACAAAAATGAATGTGTTAACGGAATATTTGTTCCTGGTGAAAAGAAAATATGTGGAATAAAGTTGGAAAGAACTTTTATTGTTTTGCAGTTACAAAGCTTGGGGTTCTCTTTTAGGACAACAATTATCTGAAAGAGACATAATAGTGGCATGCATTGATTACAGGTGAATTTTTTGGATATATAATTAAGAATACAACTCCCTACTAGAAAAGAGTTAATATTGCTGAGCTCTGATGCTGAGTGGCATTTATTTAGGCTACGATTGGATCTCAGGAATATGATACGGAAAAGCATAGAAAATGCTAAGCAACACAATTTTCTTATGTTTGGTTTTACCTAGGGAAATGCAGAGGAAAATGAAATACAATACAACAACAACAACATCCAAGCTTTATTCTTAAAACTTTTTGGGGTCGACTAACATGAATCGATCCATGATATCGTAGCCAAATAGAAAAGAAAGATAAGAAAATAAAAAGATAAGGTATGGTAAAAAGGATAAGATAAAGATAAAGATAAAAGAACATAAGAAAGATAAAGAAGAGAAAATGAAATACAATAATTGCCTTTAATTTTACCCTTATGTTAGACTACTTGCATAGTTGTTATGGCATATGGAGACAGTCATTGCGCCAAGGCATTTGTCCATGGCAATGGCACATTTATGGCGTTACCACATAACACAAAAAAATAAATACTAAAAGTATGAAGTATACACACTGTAAATCTATAATTCAACGTCCAAAGGATAGCAAAAGTTGAATAACCACAATCAAACAAAAATATGTGAAGTTAAAATAATTTAAAGTAGTTCCAAAAATTACTTTATATCGATGAATAACCACATCTATGATTATGTGAAGTTAATGCCTTGTGTGCCATTTGCGCCATTAACAACTCATTCATTTTCATTTACCCCAGTGGCATTAACAACTATGATTACTTAATATTTATTTTTATAATAGAAATAACATTAAAGAGTGAATATGCATAAATATTCAAAATAAAGTTTTTGAGTTTGAATCAATTTTTGTTTTATCCTCACATTTTCTTTTGTTCTAAACTTCTATTTCATTTTCATTTACCCCAGTGCCGCAAAGGCTCCCACCTACGGTGGGGTAAGGGGGGGTCGGATGTACGCAGTCTTACCCCTGTACTAAAGCACAGAGAGACTGTTTCCGGATGACCCATAGTGAAAATCTCGTCCAAAATTGCATGGACTGACTGCTGCTTCATAACAAAGAAGCGCAAACAGTTTAGTGAGCCATTTTGCTTTATTCCATCATAATCTCAAGCCAAAAAATAATTAATCTTCGGCTCCATTGCAAATGATGGAAAGTTGTTCTAAACTTCTATATATTCTTAATTTCCTCATTGCTCTTCCTAACAATGGACCTATAGAACCTGGTTTCTCTTTTTGTAAGTCAATAATAATTTGCAGATCAGAGATACAAACAGCATTAGTAGCCTCTAACTTTGTATTCTTACATCAGTAGTTTTCATGCAGGAATTTTCCACAGGCAACTATTGGTGATATGGTAAAAGATGCTTCCCAGGGTATTTCCTTTGTGTGCAACAATGCGGCTGAATATGGAGGTGATCCTAACAGGTAGGAGTTAGGCATTGGCTTATTAACGCTTCTTCACTTGGGGTATATTTGAATCCCTCAAAATACTAGGGAAATGAAACAAAATGCTAAAGGTATATTCTAATGCTTGGTTTTACTTTGGAAAATGTGAAGGAGTATGACTGTTTTTTTAATGTATTTTTTAGATTCTGTAGTTTTATATATTGTAAATAAATGATTAAGGTGAGTTTGTGAAAACATACATTATTGAGAGTTTGAACGAATGATGAATTTTTTGCTACATTACCTTTCTTTGAAATGTTATATTTTCCTCCATATCTTCTGTATGTTGCATTTCCTGAGCTCTAAATGGATCCTTAACCTTTGACTGAACATACGGCTTAATAGGGTTGGTTGCTTATAGGATATACTTGATGGGACAATCAGCTGGAGCACATATTTCTGCGTGTGCTCTTGTGGAACAGGTGATCAAAGAGGCAGGAGAGGGACTAAGCACTTCATGGAGTGTATCTCAAATAAAGGCATACTTTGGCTTATCAGGAGGGTAAGTTAATTGTGTTATGGTCTGACATAAGTACTTTCTGTTTTTCTCTTTTGGCTCTTTCAAATATTTGTGATTTCACCCAAAAAGGTCAACGTTAAATTAGGCAATCCATCCTGTATACATTGGTTTTGTATTTATGTATTTATGTGGTATAATATGATTTAAGGTCTTTGTTTCATTGTATGGTAGTCTACCTCTTTTTGAACAGTGTATACTAGCACTTTGACTCTATAGTGATGATAATGAATAGGTACAATTTGCTCCATCTAGTGGATCACTTCCACAACCGGGGTCTCTATCGCTCACTTTTCTTGAGGTAAAGTATACAGTCAATACTTGATTTGATCCCTTGACTTCCTACTATGCATTATTATTCAATTTAGTTATTAACTTTCTTTTAATTCAATTTGGGCCTGGTCTTTGCAATTTAGACCCAATTTTATCCCCATGCAGGTATTGGTCTAACAAAGGATATTTTCTACACTAAAAATATGATCCAAATTACATAATTGAGGATCAAACCAAGTTCAAAATTTAGTTGAAAATATGTGAACAGAAACGTGTTTCCTAATTATTAGAAAGTATACAGAGAGTAGAGAGAGAAGAAGCAGATTGATATTATTATAATGATCTGAAGCAGTATTACAATGTATATATACAGTTGGTTAGGTCAACCGCTAACTAACTCTAACCAAGCTCTAACAGATAGTTTGTTACAAGTAATAGTAATAGTCTATTCTAGAGTATATCTAACATTGCCCCCCCCCCCCCTCCCCCCCCCCCCCTCAAAGTGAAGGTGATTGATCAGTAGCATCAACCACACTGAGCTTTGTTCTTAGATCAAGAAAGTTGGAGCTGGAGAGTGGCTTGGTTAGAATATCTGCAACTTGATAGGGAGAAGGAATGTGATAGACTTGAAGCTGCTTCAGATGAACCTTATCTCTTACAAAGAAGAGATCAATTTCCATATGCTTGATCCTAGAGTGTAAGACAGGATTATGAGCAAGCTGTACAGTACTCAGATTGTCACAGTACACTTTGGGAATGGAGAAAGATACTTGAAGTTCTTTTAGAAGAAATTGAATCCAGTGTAATTCTGCAGTGGTATCAGCTAGGCTTTTATATTCAGCTTCAGCTGAGGATCTTGCTACCCTGAGTTGCTTTCTTGACCACCAGGAAACAATGTTTGAGCCCAGAAATATACATGAGCCAGATGTTGATTTTCTATCATTGGGATCAGATGCCCAGTCTGCATCACAGTAGGCTGAGATTGGAAGAGGTATGGAAGATAGAGGTAGAGGTTTGATGATGAGGCCATGTGTAATGGTACCTGATAGATACCTAAGGATATGTTTGACTGCAAGCCAATGTTCTTGCAGTGGTGCAGCCATAAACTGGCAAACTTTGTTGACTGCATAACATATATCAGGTCAAGTCAGAGTAGCATATTTGAGAACACCTACAACTGATCTGTAGTAAGAAGGGTTAGGAAGATAGTTACTGCCCTCTTGAATGAGTTTGCAAGTGCTGACCATAGGTGTTTTTACTCCTTTGGAATCAAGCATACCAGTTTGGCTAAATAAATCCTTGATATACTTAGCTTGGGAGAGATGTAGGCTGCCATCAGGTAATTTGTGTGCTTCTATACCCAGAAAGAAATCAACATCTCCCAGATGCTTTAGAGAAAAGGTTAGGAGAGAATTAGAATTGCCGGAATTGGCAGTAGAATTGGAATTGAAAGAATCATTGGAGATCGCCATGGATCGAGCTACAGCTCTGATACCATATTAGAAAGTATACAGAGAGTAGAGAGAGAAGAAGCAGATTGATATTATTATAATGATCTGAAGCAGTATTACAATGTATATATAGAATTGGTTAGGTCAACCGCTAACTAACTCTAACAAAGCTCTAACAGATAGTTTGTTACAAGTAATAGTAATAGTCTATTCTAGAGTATATCTAACACTAATAGAGTCGAATTTGGTCCCTCAACTATACTGAGTTGAGTACTGAATTGAGTCCAGTAACAAAGTTGAGGAATAAATTGAGTTATAGTTCATACTTCATAGTTGGCAAACTAATTGAGGCATTAGCACTCAAGTATATCCTCCAATGGTATTTGCTTTATATGAGTGTTAGTTCTCATGGATTCTGGTCACAACAAATTTCATTTATCTTATGAGTGTTCACTTCATATCTGCAGCATAATGGAAGGGGAAGAATCTTTGAGAAAATACTCGCCGGAGTTAGTGGTGCAAGATCCATATGTTAGAAATGCAGTCCCACTCCTTCCTCCTATTTTCCTTTTCCATGGCACTGCAGACTACTCCATTCCTTGTGAATCCAGGTTTGAATTTATCTTAGCCAGGCTCATTATTCATTATTGTTCAACAGCTGTGGTCCCTTTATTGAATATATTTAAAAACTTGTAATATTTCTTATGTACCAAATTAACCTTATAGCATAAAAAATTCTTCCCATTGAGCTTTTTATTCATTGTATTAATACTTTATAAAGTTTGAAACTCTTTCATATTCATTATCTTTATTTTAGTAACACTTTTTTCCTTACAATTGTTTTTATACGTTTTTAAATGTTTGAAAATACACACAACCATTTAACAATATATGGAGTATACCAAAAGCTATTAACGTGTGTAGCTACTAGCAAACTAAAATGCACTTTTTATATTGTTATATTGGAGTATAATAAAATATGGATTAAAATTTGAAATGTGAAACCCTTCATTCTTATTTTATTGTAAAATAAGTTATACTCCGTAGTTGATTAGAGTGGAAGAGAAATGCGGTTTGAGTTGTGCAGTATTTGGTAATATATTTATTAATGCAATTAAGAGCCCGTTTGGCAGCATGCAAATCGGCTGTTCTGGCTGATTCTGCTGAAATTTATGAAGTTCTGGCTGAAGTGGCTGCATTGGCTGATTCTGCTGATACAAGAAAAAAATATTTTTAAAATATATTTCATTAATAAAATAAAGAAAAAAATATATGTAAAAATAGCTAAAATGGTCATCTACAGTAACTTCAGCCAATACAGCCAGAAAAGTAACTCCAACCTTACTTTTTCGGCTTATTACACAATTCAGCGCGCGAAAGCAAAATTTACGTGTTTGGTAAAAAAGTTGGCTGATAAGCCTGATAAGTCGAAAATGAGGGTTGCCAAACGACCTCTAATGTGAGCTGTAAATTTCCATTTTCCTGCTGCTGCTAGTATTGACAATTTCCATTTGCTTCAGTTGAGCTTATAGCTGATATCTTCCAACAATGGTCTACATTTAAGTAGTGGTTCAATATAATATATACATTAATACATATATTTTTCTTATTCATCATAATCATCATCACCCCAGTGCCACAAAGGCTACCGCCAACGGTGGGGTAAGGGAGGTCGGATGTACGCAGTCTTACCCCTGTACTAAAGCACAGAGAGAGTATTTCTAAATGACCCATGGTGAAAATCGCGTCGAGAATATTATGAACTGACTGCTGCTTCATAAAAAGAAGCACAGACAATTTAGTGAGCCATTTTGCTTTATTCCATCATATTCCTAAGCCAAAAAATAGTGAATATTTGATTCCATTGCAAATGATGGAAAAACATATGTTTTTCTTATTGCAGTAAGAAATTCGTTGAAACTCTAAATGATCTTGGAGGTAAAGCTGAAGCAATTATGTATGAAGGGAAAACACACACAGATTTGTTTCTCCAGGTATTTTATTATTGCTTTCATTTATCAAAATTAATACAATCTACTTGCTACATTTATAGCAATTCCTCTAAACGGACACATTTGATTAATATTTTCGTAATTTTCGGGTTTACTGTTAGGATCCAATGCGAGGTGGGATGGATGAGTTGTTGGAGGACTTGATAACAAAAATCCATTGTGACAACCCAGAAGCCCTTGTGGAGGCTGCAGCAACTGCTCGCAGAAGAAGGCGCTTAGTTCCTGAATGCATGTTGAAGTTGGCTACCAAAGTTAGCCCATTTTAGCTCACCCCCACAATAACTTTCTTTCTTTTATACGCCTCCATTATTTGTCCTGCCCCCATTTTTGTGCACACTTCATTATAAAAAAATTCTTTTCGGAAAAACATATATCCAATTATTGTGTAAATCAAATATGGCACCTGATCTCAGGACCGTCTCTAGCACTTTTGGTGCCCCAGACAACAAATGAGCAATGAGATCAAATAGTACTTAAAATTAATAATGGAATTAAGATGAAGTAATTAGAAAATTATAACATCATTTTTTACTACATGTAAAAGGCAATACTCGACTTAAAATTGATATAAAGTGAAAATATAAAATTTTTTAAAAAATGAAACTATAAAAGTACTATCTAATAACATATTCTTCGTGCCTTTTGATTTTTGAAGTGCAAACTTTGTAAGTACTACGTATATCATTACAATCAAAAGTAGATACCACTCTTTTTCTATAGAAATACCATTTAAAAAGAATAAGTTTCAGATTGAATTTGATAAGTGAATAACTTCAAGAAAATTAGAAAAAATATATAACATAAATTTTCAAGTTTAATACAATTAATAAATGATAAGTAATAAATTGGTTGTAGAATAACTCATTTAATTATAAATTTCAGAATTTAATTTCTACGCGGAAATCGGAATTATCAATTGTGTGTCATCTATAATGGATTGGAGAAGAATTGAAAGAAATAGAAGTTTCAAATAATCAAATATAACCAAAAATAGTTAATTAATCAATGTTGAAATCTCAAATCAACGGGCTGATCCTTACCCTTACCTGGATAACTGGATTGCAGAAACGCAAATTGGCTAGTGATTGTGGCTATTCTCGATTGCCTCCTGTAATCCGTATATGTATAACGTACTAGGGTAATAGTCTAATAGTCTAATAGATAGACTATACATCTATACATTATTCTTAATTTCCTATTGGACCATCTGGCCAGCGGGCTAGGCTCCCATGTCATGTGTTTGTTGCTTTGACCTTTCACTATACCCGCATGCGGCTAGGGGTGGATCGGTTCCGGTTCGGGCCCGGTTCGGACCTGGGCCCGGCCGGGCCTCGGTTCATGAAAGGGGAGGCCCAGAACTGGCTCGGGTAACCCCCGAGTCCGGTCCGGGTCGGGCCGAGCCTTGGTTCATGTAATTTTTTTTTGGCTTTTCCTAATTAACCCCCAACCCTCCCCCCTTACCCCCAAACCACCCCAAACCACCTCAAATGGCCCATCATACCCAACCCAACCCAAAAACTTAAAAAAATCAAAAAAAAAGAAAAATAATAAATTGGCTCGGACCGGGCCTGAACCGGTCGGGCCGGTTCACTATTTAGCAGGCCCGGGCCCGAACCGCCTACCTCACCGGGCTGGGTGGCCCGAACCGGGCACCAACCGGTTCACCAGCCCGGTCCGGGCCCGCACAGTAGCGGGCCGGTCCGGTTCCGGGCCGGTTGGCCCGGCCCGAGTCCACTCCTACATGCGGGCATGCGGCTACTGGAATTGGATGCCAATGGTCATTACTATGTATTAATCAATGTATTTTAAAAAAAGTGATGCCCCCATTGAAGGTGGTGCGGCTAGGCCATTGCCTAGGTGCCTGCCCCCTATGGCCGGCACTACCTGATCTCTTTACTTAAAACTGGCGGGGAAAAGGTCAATATGAAATTCTTAATTAAAGGATACACACACCCAAGTTTAATACTCCCTCCGGTCCTAAATAAAGTTCACACTTTCCTTTTTAGGCCGGTCCAAATTAAAGTTCACACTTCTTCTCCCTTCCTTATTTTAAAAATTATCTACATCAAAACAGTGGAAAACAGTGCCAAACAGTGCAAAGCAGTGTCAAACAGTGTTACAAAATTGTACTCTACAATATAGTCAAATTTATTTCCTTAATTTGTGTGAAGTCAAACACTGAACTTTATTTAGGACAGAAGGGAGTATGATATTTTATAGACACATTCATGTGTTGCGGTGTGAAGATATCTGAAATTCTGAATGTGGTGCAAGTTTACTGTGCAAGTACATAAAAGGACAAACATGTATGAGTAAAGTTTATTGTCTAATCTTACCTATTCTTTTATATAGTAAAAGTGTAAAACTGAGTTAAAAATCAATGACTTGTCACTTTCTTATTGGTTAAGAAAAATTGTTATTATTACAATTAAGAACGCGTTTAATTAATCCACATCCATATTCAATTTAAATCTAAATGGACATGATGCATAAATACATGGTTTTTGCTGATGGATAAAGCCAAGGATGAATACTGTCTTTGTCAATTTGAATCCATGAGCAAGAACACGTTTAATTAAGAATGAATTAATGCTTAAAATGAAGTCTAACTTTACACGTTTAACACTTGTCTTCAGGCGCTGATTTCAAAATATCAAGGGATGATTGCCTAATTACTAAAATACACTGTATTTACGCTAAAAGTACTCTATTTACGTCTGAGAAATACAACTTTCGGGGCCGATTGTACAGTTTGGGACTTATTGGGATGACCTCCCACATGAGTGGGATGAGGAAGGCACCATTGTTAAGAACAAGGCAAGACTGATAGTCAAAGGCTAATGTTGGGAAAAAAGAATAGATTTTGATGAAACCTTTGCACGTGTTGCCAGACTTGAAGCTATAAGAATATTCTTAGCTTATGCTGCCCATAAGCAATTCATTGTCTACCAAATGGATGTGAAATATGCCTACTTAGATGATGTCATTACAAAGATTGAATTCAAAGAGGGAGGAAATGGATCGTCCAGAAGAATAGTAGCACAGTTTATAAATGAGAGAATCTGAGAAGGTTTCCCATGAATGAAACTTGGAGCATGGATAAGCTAGCAATTACTTTTATGGATATTGTTAGACACTTACTGTTTATGAATTAATCGACACACTTATTGACTAATTAATTAAACAATTAACCAATGCTTAAAATGAATGTCTAATTAATAAAACAATTAATGCTTACAATCATGGTTATACAATTCGCAACAAGTCTTATCATAAAGAATGCTTAAAATGAGCGTCTAACCTTCTAGAACACACACTCCTTCAGTAGTCCTTCCCATAGCAAGAACTCATTTAATTAATCCACAATTCCAATTTCCACATCCATATGAACTTTTTGAAAAGTTAAAAGATTTTTAAATCAATACTTTTATGAATGAATTTTGCCCATTTTCATAAATCCATGGATAAGTTTATACACTTTTACGGAAATTAATAGACTTTTAAATACAGTCCTCGTCACCGGTCCCCAAAATCCCCCCCAGATTGTTGTTGCCATCCGTCGCTGGAGCTAGGGATAATTAATTATATCAATTAATTAAATTAGAGATAGAAATATACGGTTTATTCTGAAAAGAAAGCTATGTTTTAGTCCCACCGTGAGTAAATTATTATGTATAATACGATAAGAAACGATTAAATAAATAAATGAAACAAATGTAATTCATATAGTATGCGGAGTTCCACTAGAATAAATGAGGCCTAATCAACCAAATTTATTTTTTGTTAATTAGAAATCCCAAAATTAAGAGAATGATCAACAAACTTGGTCTCTTTATATTGCACTCATTGTTACATGTGGTATAAGCGTAGGTCCAATCGAGCTCTTTTTCTTACTCAATAATTGTTTTTTTGCATTTTTATCTTGTTAAATTCGTTTACTTATTTATGGTTAAATATTTCTTAGTTTGATATTCCATATTATATTTTATTTTTTAGCAGTTTAACAATAAAACACTGTAATAATTAAATATATTTTTATTTCTTAACAATTAATTGACAACATACAAAAATTGCACGAATATGATACTATTGATATCGATCTTCAAAAATATTCTAGAACCAAATCGATATTGACATAAAGGGTCTTCAAAGTTCAAATGGTTCCTAATTTTCTTTTGAGAATCGAACTGATCTCCCCTACAATTTTCTTCATGAAATAGTATATAAAAATCGTTTTTTAAAGTTTATCTTGTGTATCGGTAATGATGTAGAATCTTATTGATTAATTTTATTTATCCTAATATGATAAAGTTCAAAATTGAGTTTCCAAACCTTGCATATTGAGCCGTACAAAAAAAACTTGCATATCAAGGCCATCTTGATACCTACCTCCCTACCCAGTATTAGTCTAGAATTGGTTGGCCGGTTTGAATACCAGACAAAGAATTAGTCAAATCTAGTTTGGTTCTAGAATCAGATATATGCGTACTTGTGACGAGTATAAGATAAAAGAAAAAATCTTTGGTGAGGTGAATAGACAATTACTGAAAATTAATATATTAAAAATGAGTTAAAAGTTCACGAGAATCTATGATTTTAAGTATAATAATGTTTTCTTCTACTTATATCTTACTCCGTACTTTTTATACTACATATTACGGTGAATAATCAACAAACACTGATATTAACAAATAGGAGTTGCTAGGCGCACCCCATTCATTACTTAATCTAATCCAACATGACAATTTTAACCTTTGTTCTTTAATCGATTAAACGTGCTCCTTGAAGGCTTGAAGTTTCACACGTTGACACGATATTATCCAATTTTAATCAATTCCAAAATTAACTCTACAACTAATTATAATAGTTTCGTGCAAATGATTGATTTTTTCTGAAATATCATATTTTTTTCATTTGTACTCCAACCATTACAAAAAATATATCATAGATTTTTTATGACATTTCATATGACATCAATATTACATATAAAAAATATTTTAGTTTTATCTGTTAAGTTTGGTCAGATAAATGACCAGTGAATTTTACTATTTTCAGGTCCTGACCTGGACCCGAAAATCCGACAAATCCAGAAAAACCCAATTTTGGTTATATATATATATATATATATATATATATATATATATATATATATATATATATATATATAGAGAGAGAGAGAGAGAGAGAGAGAGAGAGTAGAGATCAAATGAGAATACCATCTTAGGAGAGAAATAAGAATCGAATCTCCACCTTTAATTAACCAAATGCGTTAACGGACGGACTAACGCTTTAGAAGTTAGAACTACACCATTAGAGCTTTAATGAATTTCCACTCATCCCACATATTTCGCATCTGGTCATATCACGTAACTTTTGTTTCTTTTTCAAGTTCTTAACTTTTACTCCCATATTTCTTAATTCCTAATAAATCCATTATTGTACTTTTTTGTCTAAATTCATTTAAATTTCAGAGAAGTTTGATAGGTTCTAT